GCTCAGTGAGTGGGTGAAAAGGCTTCAAAGTTTCCTAGGACCTCCAAATGGATGTTTGGCTGTACCACAGAGGACACGGAGAACACAAGCTAAGTGCTTTAGCAGCGGGTGACGCTAACGCAGTAGGACAGGCTCAGTGTGGCGTGAAGCAGAAGAGTGCTGTGCGAGGTGACTTATGGGACAATGGGGCCGCTTTTCGCAAATAAAACATGAGGCTTATCCTGAGCCTCTGAACTATACAGTCTCGGCTTCTGTCAGGTGTTTGTGGGTGGAAAAAGAAGGGGGGAAAATCTGATTTAATGGTCCTGAACTGGCTGGATTATCTACACTGGAGGGTAATTCACTGAAATATTTAGTGTTCCAGTTCATGTGCAGAAGCCATATTAGCTCCCTATTTCCTCTTTAAGTAGCATTATCACGTTTTGAAGCCACATTGTCTGATAATCTCATAAACTACGCATATATTCTGATTCTGATTGAACTGTTTTGGGTGAAATATTCAAACTTAAGGGATTTTATGGCGGCACTATTTCATCAAATGGAAATATTCTATACCAATAATGTGCAAAATGTAATCAAGATTTCCCTTATAATTTAGTTTAATTCATTCATATCTTCAGAAACTCTAAACTAGAATTTGAAATCAACAAAATAAGCTCTTAAAATGTCATGAATTTGTTTTTGTTTGTTTTTTTAATTAAAAAAATAAATATGAATGCAATAAATAAAAAGTATCACTGGACAGGGTATTTTTTGCACAGTAATAGGTATTAACATGATATTTTAGAATTCTACGTGGCAACACATGTACATCAATGTTGGTGATTGAAACCAGAAACAGAATAAAGAAGCAGGCAACAGTCTGTGTTCTTTTATTTTGAAATACTTGATGTTTTGACTGTCTCATGGATCTAAAATTATCGTTATTATTCAGTCAGTATTAAAAGGAGGTTAAATGCATTTGTTCACACAAAATAAGCTTGCAATCTAGTAAGATATCATCAGAAACTTTTTTTTTTCATCTTTTAGTTCAAACATATGAATGCAGAATTGTTAGAAGAACCACTGGATGTTTTTTGTTTTTGTTTTTTTTTGCACTATAATAGGTATTAATACGATATTTTATAAATATACGTTGCAACACAGTAGATAAATGGTTCCCAGCTTGTAACACAATAAAGAAACAGGTGACATTATGTATTTCTATTTTTTTTAAAAACATAATCTTTGGCTTTTGCTTTATTTTATTTTGAAATACTACAAATTTTCCCCTCTTTATGGCGCTAAAATGATTAAAATCATTATGTTTTATTAATATTGCTTTGTTCAATTCATGAACACATTCACATATGACAAATAGTTGTAAAAAATAATTTTATAAAGATTTTTTTTGTATTAAGGAGCCCCAAACCTCTAACATAGACTATAGTGCAACTACGTCTAATGCTCATTATTTAGCCGAATACGAGCTATTTCAAGAAATGTTGCAGGTCAGCAGGTTCAGAGAACAAACTGTTCTCCCCTCTATTCAATTAATTAAAGCAACAGACACAAATATGCTTCAACAATTCAAAAATGAAAAAATAAAAATAAACGTCTCTTGATATTTTCAACCATAAATGTCTCGGCCCTCAATTATGTAAAGCCTCTGTGCTGCACTCAGGAGGAAGAGGCCTGCGAGTTCGGCTCCAAACAACTTCAAGTGTTCTTTTAAATTCAGCCGAAGAGGCATATGAATAAGGCATATTTTGCGCGGAACATCCACACAAAGCTATCTTTGGCAGTGAAGATGGCAGTGACATGTTTGGGCGTAAAAGGTTTGGAGCGTCGTTGAATCTTTTTTTTTTTTTTAACTTTTTAACCCTTTTAACCCCTGAGTGGGTCGTGTTTTGTTAAGCGATGTTGGCATGTCTTTGAAAGTTGCATTAAAGAGTTGTGGCTAGACGCAGAGAGAGAATCAGACTGGTGCACATACATCAAACTGTGTATACACAAGAAAGAAAAGGTCAGAACCAGAGGACAATAAAACAATATTTAAACTGACTGTGACGTCGGTTTATGATCATAACTGTCTCATTTCTGTAAACAGAGTGAATGAAGTCTGATGTAATAAGTCCTGAATCCAGGGACGAGGTTTATAAAGATGGCGGCCTCCTGTGCATTAGACCCTCATGGCATCGACTCAACGAACTGTACGTGCTGAATGAATTAATGATCACTCAGCGGCACGGTCAATATTTCATAGGCGGCAAGTGTTACTAAAATGGCAAACAGAGCGTAATATATGTCATATTTTCAAAACTCAAGTATAATACAGCTGCGGACCGAAGGCGACGCAGGGCCTGATTCCTGCTTCAGTTTTGTTATTATGCACCACACGTCTGTACTTTACTTTCAGCTTTATTGTTTGAAAGCATCTTGTTGCAAAAAAAAGACTTGAATTAAATACATACAACATTGGAATTTAAAACAAAAAAATGCTGAAACCAAACAAACAAAACATCATTTACCCACCCACATATCAGTGCTTTAAACAAACCGGCATCACCGACTTCTCCTTTATTCAGCCTGTAGAAGAGATTTTAATCCAACTCTGTCTAAATTATTAGAAGATTTGCACAGTGGTTATATTACTCTGCAGCTGAAACACAAATCAGATGCAGTTGTGTCCCTTTTTTTACAACTTTAAACCTCATGATAACTTGCTTCATTCTGGTCTTTTTACATTTTAAATATATCTAAGATTGTGTACATATTTTTTAAAAAATCGGTAAAGTTTTGCTTCCAGAATCTGTACAATGCCACTGATGAGTGCAACGCTGTTTTTTCTAGAACTGCAACTTCTGTATATTGTGGTTTATTTTTTAACTTCTGTACTGATATTCCTTAAATGTTGGCATTTTCCCCTTTGCTGCTGTAACGATGCAAATTTCCCCACTGTGGGATTGATTAATTTTTATCTTATCTTAAAATCAAGATTCAGGATTTCATGCTGAATATTTCCTCTATTAATCAGCTCATAAAATGTCAGAAAATTGTGAAAAAATACCCATCACAAATTCCAGGATGTCTTCAAATGCCTTATTTTATCAGATCAGCTGCCCAAACCAAAAGATATTTAATCAATTTACACTCACATAAAGCAAAGAAAAGCAGCAAATATGAGCACGTTGGAGGTTTATCAGCAAAATGCAAAACATCAGTTTGTGTTATTTTACCTCAATTCAGCTTTAATGCTTATTATTTAGATTTAACTATTGTTGCTTGTATCTTCATCTAGTTATGTTTAATGAGCAGGACATTTGTATGGCATCGTAATATTTCCTTATTTTATCCAACCAGCTGCTCAAACATAAAGATATTTAATCAGTTTACACTCAAATAAAGCAAAGAAAAGCAACAAATATGAACATTTGAGAGGAAACTGGGATCAATTTTAGGAATTTTTGCAATTTAACACCTTCAGATACATTTTTCCTGATTAATGAATCAATTAACTACTTCTAATACATGTAATTAGTGCTTTGACATCTTCAGCTACAGTGAGATAAATACAGATTATTTGACATTGTTCAAAGCCTCACGTGACGCCGAAGCTTTGCCCTAATATGTGCATGTTTGCGTAACAGCCTGACCGGTTCCCTCCCTGTGTCCGGACGTGTACGTACTGTATACGTACCGCCTGGGTTCAGAGTGTTCAGAAGCGCGCTGAAAAACACAGCAGAGCTCCACTATTTTTAGATCAAATCACTGAAGAAGTACAGTGAGAAAACGTCCGTCCACTCGGCCGCCCCTCCTTCGCCCTGCAGGCCTGATTGTGTTGCTACACAAAGTCAGGAAACCGTGTGGCCTCTGAGAGCTGCTTGTTGTGAGGAAACACGCTGCACGCTGGGCTCACGTCCAGGGCCGAGCCTCAACACACAACACAGGCCGTTTGTCCGCCCACGCCCCTCTTACATCAACCTGGAGCCCAATAATTACTAACACACACACGGGCCTTTTATTACTATTATCATCATTATTATTGGTTTGTGTCTGTCGTCGCAACAATCACCTTTATTTCTTATCAAACAAAGCCTGTTGTTTCACTTTTGTCCTAATTAAATATCTGGAATCACATCAAATCAAAGTCGCTTCAGATGAACACAGTGCAGCATCATCCTGTCATTCTGTGATGCAGTTTATGAGAAATTGTTCTTTATTTCTGGGGGTTTGTGTGTTGGCTTCCTATAAAAACCTATCAGCAAAATGGAAAACATCGATTTAATTATGTTATTTTACTCTAATATACTGTGATAATTCAGACTTAATCCAAATTATGTATAGATATATAGATTTAACTATATTTAGCCGATCATCTACCAGCACAATTTGTACATGTTTTCTTTTTTTTTTTTTTTAAAGGTTTATTATTGTGATGATTATTGTTTTCTGTCATTTTGTGTCTGGTTTTTGGTTATATTATGCCTCATTTGTTTAGTTTTGTGGGGTTTTTTTGTTTAGAATTTGCCTGTATTATTATGGTAATTATCTATCTATCTCTCTATCTCTCTATCTATCTATCTATCTATCTATCTATCTATCTATTAAGTAAATTTAATAACACAATTCTTGCATTCAACCCTTTCTGCTAAAACACTGAAGTATTACAAGCATAAAAGCAAACATTGCTTCCTTTGCAGCTGAAATTGACTTTATTATTATTATATTTATGTATATACATTACAATATTGGATAATTATTGTTAATATATTTACTCATAATAATTTGATATTGCAGATGACTGCAGTAAAGATATTTTACTCACTTTACTATATAAATATGAAACACTTCTACTAAAATCATCATCTGCAAATTAACTAGGACAGTTAAAATATCATAATTTAATGTGAAATTTTGTGAAGTTAAACAATAAAGAGAATAAAATTAAAAACAAAGTGAGTCAGAATTATAATTGTAGATTTTAATTATAGATAAAAATATTTTTAAAATAAATAAACGGCTAAAAATGGGTTGTATACATAAAGGCATTTAATAAATATTCAGGAAAATATCACAGAGACAGTCAAAAATCTATTATTATAGTAAAAATTGTTGCTGAAACATTCACTGGCATCATTTTCCATCTTTTTGGAGCTGATGGAAGCTGCAGGTGAAGGTGCACAACAACCATCTGGCGCGTGAAGTTTTCATAAAACAACCAGCTCAACAATCAGAATATGAAGTTGGTGATTGTGGAGGCGAAAGTTGGAGGTTCAGCGGTCACTCATTGGCTGTCCGGGTCCCATAGAAACGGTGATGTAGCGGCTGCAGGGGCCGGCTCTACCCGCAGCAGCTGAGGCGGATCTGCAGCCTGATTACGGCGCACAGCAGACTCCAACATAATTGATGACCTAATTGAAAAGCAGGAGGAGGAGGAGGAGGAGGAGGATGGAGCCGGGGTGGAGGGGGTCACTCTCGGACAGGAGGAGAGAGAGAGACGCGCTCCAATGAGGAAAAAGTTTACTTGTTCTTCCTCCGCACAGTCCCACAGCTGAGGGCATTGATGTGAGCGCAGAGGCTTTTCTGTTTTTTACGCGCACTTCTTTCCCCCCATCTTCTCACCCTTCACACACGGAGCACAAAAATCCACCTTCTCACCTTTAGTTTTTTAGCGCGTGTGTCTTGTGTTTCCTTTTCTTTCCCTTTTTCCTCCCTTTTATGAATGATTCTCTCTCGCAGTCCTGCTGCCAAACTCTCCTCGGATACCTCTCCGCAGCCGCCGCCGCCGCCGTCCTCGTCCAACGCACGACCTCACCTCGGCACATCTTCTCTCCTCAAGCTCAAACGCCACCAGGACTTTCACTGCAGCTTCAGACGCACTTGGGGGAAATATCACTCGACGAGGAAAAACTTAATACTTTGTGCAGCAGCAGAAGCAGCAGCAGCAGCAGCAGCGACCGTCAACATGAGCCTGAAAGCGGACGCAGAGCCGAATAACAACGTTTCCATCGAGGAGGAGGTGAGTTTAGCGCAAAAGTTTGACTTCTCCTTCCTGCTTTCTCTTTGCTGTTCATTGACAACTGCGTTTCTGGCCGCACATTCACTGTTTTCTAAGTTGTGTTAATTAGAAAAGTTGTGTTTTGTGCGGTGACTTGTGCGCTCTCGTCCTGAAACGTTTTTTTTTTTTTTTTAAGGAGCAATGAGTGCGCAATTAAAGGGGAAACGTGCACCTCCTGTGGAGTCTCACAAACTTAGCATGTCACACAGACGCACAAGCTTGGGAAATACTCCAAAACTGTATTTGTATTGTTGTTTTAACGTGTGTTCTTGTATTCCTAAACTTTCAGTGATTTTTTTTATTATTATTTAGAAGTAGCCATTTTTCAATTTGCGCATTATTAGCTGCTAACAATTAAAATGCAAATCTTGTCGTTTTTTTAAAAAATTTCACTCAAGATTCAGTTTTTGTACCTTTTTATAAGATAACATTAGATCTTATCCTGTCATATATAAAAGCAGGATTCTTTGATTTTAATCTACTGCTGCTTTATGTGACCATCAAAGGTGTAAAATTAATTTTTTAAACAAAAAACACAAGCTGAGTAAAATAAGCAAATGTTATGAATTGTAGGAAAATTCAACCTCCAGGGCTTGTCATTTAAAAGAATACTTTACTATTTGATTTAACAGTCTTGAGCATCCACATTGGCTGCTTGGTTTGCATTCGGGTGCCAATAAAACATCATCCATCACTCCACCTCTGCAGGTTTTTCCATCTCTGTGGCCTCACATCAGGTTTGTGAAGCTGAAAATAAATGTCACACCTGCTTCATTGCAACCTTATTTTCAATTTGTCAGTGTAAATGTAAAAAAAATCAAATCAAAATAGTATTAGTTTATATTTTTCATATCCTAGAGGATGAGCTTCATCCAGCTGCCATGCTTCTGTCTGTGTGGCCGGCTGGATTTCCTCTTTAATGACTCCTTATGGAGCGACACTGAGGGGAGCACCGGGCCTTTTGTTGCTCCTCCATTGTTCCCATTGTCTTACCACAAAGCCTCGTGTGACTTTTCTCAGCCTAATTTGCTTTATATTTCCTTTTTTTCCCCCTTCTTGTAATTAAGAGCAAACAAATTAACGAGGCAAAAGGAATCCCACTTGAAGTCTGTCTGGTAATTCAATGTGTCAGTAATTCATGTGGATCCTTTAAAACTAAAGCTCATCAGAGGGCTCGGACTTCACCACGGCTTCAGGTTCGTCCAGCCGCAGCCAACGAGAAGCTTGAGGGTAAATTAAAACATCTCCACTACGTCCAGCTGGGCAGCTTTCAGTTGCTGCGTACGCTGCCTTGCTGCATTGCTGCTGTGCGGCACCTGAAAAATGCCGGAGGGCCGGCAGGGTTGAGGCCACGGGTCAGAGGAAGGAAATGGTGTCACGCTGTGCGCTGTTGTCCAGTGCTGTTCCTCTGGCAGCCCCCATTGTACTGAGGGCCTCCCCACCGGCTGGGAACTAATGGGCCTCGCACCGCACTGTTTATTTCCCCCCCGGCCACATACACAGCACCGGGCCTCGATGAAGGCGGCTCCATCGGGCCCTTGAAGGGGATCTGGGGGTTCCACTGAAGATAAACACCGTCTTCTGTTCACCGACATGTTACAGAAACGGCAACGTGGCACAAATGTGATGGGTTTTTTTGTTTTTAAATCACAGAGGATTTTTTTTTTTATATGTAATTGCTGGGAAATCAATCAAATTGGCATCTATTTGGGCCTTAACAGGGGTTTTAAGCAACAGTTTCCAACCTGAGGGTCAGGACCCAGCTCAGGTCACCTGATAAGTCAGAGGGGTCGCAACAGAAATTAGATTCATCTTTTTAGGTTTTCTTGTCTTTTATTTTTACATTACTGGATAATTAAAGGTCTTTCTAATCTCTAGAAATATATTTAAAAACATCCTTTCCTGTTTTTTTAACTTGAGCCTCTGGTCTTTGATTAGTCATGAAGAATTTTGGAACCATCTCACTTGTTTACCTCATTATCCTTGAAGGTCAATTCATACGTCCAGCTCAGGTCACACTGTGCTCTCTTTCAGTTTTTGGCTTCTTTTTCTGACATTGTGCTCTTTTTTTTTTTTTTTTTATCTTTAAACCATAAGCAATAAAAATGTTTTCTGCTAATTTATCGTCTTGTTTTCCAGCACTTGATGCCTTGAATGTGTTCTTATACTGTATGTGAGAGGTGTTAACACTGTCAACGAGCATTTATTTACCTTTCACCAATTTAAAAAAAACCCAGAATGTTCTGTTAAAAACGACCTACCTAATTCTCTCTGCAGGTACGAACACTGTTTGTCAGTGGCCTGCCAGTCGATATCAAACCACGAGAACTTTACCTGCTCTTCAGACCTTTTAAGGTGAGTTTCAACATCACGTATTTCCACAGAAACAGGACGGTGTTTGTTTTTAGTGATTGTGAAGCCCACTGAGGCGTATTAAATGAAGTGGGCTTTTTAGAAATGAAGCGTATCCGCTGTGCTGGAAATAAACCATGAAAAGTGTTTTGTAAAAGGATTTGTCTGCACATGAAGATGCTGAAACTAGCGTAGTGTGCAGGTCATTCTTTTAAAGCCACTTCTCATGATGCAGTAATATTTTAGCATTTGATGCTCACAGAAGAAGGTTTTGTGCTTTATTTTCATTTTTTGTGAACAGTTCAATCCACCCTGTTAATGGAAGTCCAGATATTTGCATATATGGAAATGAGGCCACATCATTGTTCATCCATTGCTCTTGTTTTTTGACTGGACTCCAGTTCCATAAACACCCCTCCCACCCGTGTCCTAACTAACCAAATTGGAAGTGGTATCCCTCGCACATGGATGGTCTTGAGGAATGTGTAAATGAGTAGCTCTCGCGATTGGCCAACCAATCCTCTCCGTGACCCAGCTCGCCCACTGTGTAGGGAAATTTGTATTTCCTCTCCTAACATTTGTACATTGTGAAACCGCTGAAATGCTTCAAGTCATTGTAACACTGTTTATGTTTTGCCTCTTTTATTTCTGCAGTAGGCAAACACAGGCACAGTGCAAACACAGGGTTAACCCGATTCACTGGATTTTTTTAGTTCTTTTTTTTTTTTTACTACCAGATCCAAATGAAAGCTTTTTGTTCTTCAGAGGAAATCTTGTAATATTAACTGTATTCTACCTCTTGTTTTTCTGCTCTAAATTACTAGAAGCTAAATCTGGTTTGGATTGTTGCTAAGGATTTATCACGACCAGTGAAAGTTGTTTAATTTTCCACGGCTGTAAATCAGGATCAGGAGAGATCTCATCTATCAATAGTCCGGTCAGGCAAAATTCCTCTTCGCTTCTCAGGAACTCACTCGTTCTTTAACCAACCCGTGTGCTGCTTTTAAACCTAAACCAGTGACTTTATTTGGAAGGTGATCTACGTTTAAACTATATGACATGCCCCTTTTGACTAAACACAGTCTTCATTTTATGTTTTAGCTTTGAGGATAAATGGTTAATCGGAAGCATGCATGTTTCTCATTTTACCAAAACAAATGTAAGTCCAACAGTGTGACAGACGGAGCTTCGATGGCCTCCTGCCAAGTCTGAACTGAAGGTGCACACAAGCAGATTTCTCTTCATATAGTGAGGCGTTCATGCCTGACTTCCTGCATGTGACTGCAGGGTGGATAATTGGCTATCTTTCTTCCCCGCAGGGTTATGAAGGGTCACTGATTAAGTTAACATCAAAACAGGTGAGATGCCTTCCATCGGGGGCTTTTAATGCTATATTTATACATTTCCAGGCTTGGTCTTGGATCTCTTTGTAACTTCAAAGTTGGATGAAGAAACAAAAGATCCAGTTTTTTGCTCTTTCTTTGCTGAATTGAAATATAAAACGCAGGATTTTCTGTTTAAGTCGGAGCTTCGTTTGTTGTCACAATGCGTCTTCTTCCCTTTTGTCTTGCAGCCTGTCGGGTTTGTAACCTTTGACAGTCGATCTGGAGCTGAAGCTGCAAAAAATGCACTAAATGTAAGCATTGCCTTTATTTTTTCTGATTCATCTCTTCTCACTGAGTCTTTTGCTGTTTGATTATTTCCCCCTCTCTTTTTTTTCTTAACCTCTTTAATTATTAGATTTGTTCTAACCTTTTTTTTGTTTAAACCTGAAGAAAAGAATGATTGGGACTTGAAAAAAACGTCTTCTTTCCCATTAAAACTTCTCAAAGCCAACCCGTTTTGTCTTTTACAATTCAATGGCAGGGCCATTTTTGGAAAGAGGCCAGAATCCCGTAGCCTTACGGTAGTTTACTTTGACCTTGATACACATCCTTCTTAGTCTGGTATAGCTTTCCTCATTTTGCATATCACTTGCTTTTACTGTAATACTTTGTTCTCTAGCCACATGTGTAGTGTTATTTGGACACATCTTCAGTAGTGTAACCTCTTATTTTGTCACCCAGTAGCCCACGTTGGCAGAATCTAACACTTCTCTCTCATAGCCTTAGCCTTCCTTATGAGCATCACCTCTTAGACAACACCAGCAGTCACACACACAAACACACACATACACCCAAATACTACTCACCTGCATGTGGGCACAACGCTTAGGGCACAAGAACACAAAGCAGGGTTCAAAAACCACCTGAGAGAAAATGACACTCAGAGTCTCGCCATCGGCCCCCTTTTTTCCTCGTCTCCTCCTCCTCGTGGCTGAACTCGTCCTCCAGTCGCCTGTGCTCTTGATTTCGTCACGAGGAGGGTAAAAAAAAAAAAAGGAGATGTAAGCGTGTTGAAATATTTCAAGTGCATCCTTCAGTCTGCCCCTTTATATTCTTTTTTTGAAGCCTTTTATGAGCAGTTTTGGTTCGATAAAAGCAGTCGGGTGGAGAACGGTGTGTTTTTTTTTTGTTTTTTTAACACCCTACCAAGCTTGAAGGATGCACCCTGAGTATGGAAACACCGCTTTAAGGAAAGGAGGCCGTGTGAGACTACTGAGCTACAAACCCCTCAAACTCAGCCCACCTCCCTTACTATACTATGTCCCCCCCTTCCTCCCCTCCTCCGTCTCTCCCCCCAGGGTATCCGTTTTGACCCCGAAAGTCCCCAGACCCTGCGCTTAGAGTTTGCTAAAGCCAACACGAAGATGGCAAAGAGTAAGCTGATGGCCACACCGAACCCCACAAATATCCACCCCGCTCTAGGAGCACACTTCATTGCACGGGACCCATGTAAGTTGTACGGCTGCACCACTTCTAGGCTCTCATCCACTCTCACCTCGGCAATGCCAGTGCTCAGATGCCCTCATTTTAATTTTTTTATTTTTTAAAGAGAATCCTAGCGTATTGTCGTACTTTGACAAGCAGGTGGTTAATAAAAACGATATCTAACAAATGAAGGACTAACTCACCTCCACATGCATGTGTCATCTCGATTCTTAAGACGGCCGCTTTGCTTCTGTCCAGCTGGGAAATTCCACTAACAGGGTTCAGTCAGCAGTCGCGTCTCTGCTCTCTTTGCCTCAACACCTGCTTGGTTCGTTCGGTTTCAGACAGGTGGTTGATGATGATGATGACGACGGCGGTGTTCGCTCAGACCAGATTTTGCCTGTTGAGGTTTACTTGCCTGCTGTGGCAAAGAGCAGGAAGAGGGAGCTAGAGGGCTGCAGGGCTTTAGGAAACGTTTTACTTGAACTTATTGCATCTAAACAGCATCTTTTGCTTCCCTGCTGCTTGCAGCTTTGCAGTTCTAAGAGAAAAGTAGGTTAGTTCACATCAAGCTGACTGGATTTTAGAGTATTTTGCCATTTTGTGTAGCCTGTTGATCTTTACGCAGTGAATTCAGCCATAAGCGAATGCGTCTCGGTTTGTTCTCCATAGAAACAGATGAGAAGCAAAATCTGGTCCGACTGCTCTTTTAGAGATCGGTCATTCCATCTGAAATCATTACATTTTGGAACAAGTTCTGCTCAACCATCTTTGAATTGTCTGATTTTTTTGTTTCCGCATCAAATCCTTAAACTACAGTTATTCAGATATTTGTGAAATTTTAGAATGATATATCAAATACTGAAGTTTCCCATCAACCCACCTTTAGCCTTGAACATTTTTTTCGCACATTGAGATATGAGGCTGTTTAGACATCAGTATCTCAGGAACGATTGAACATAAAAGCCTGAAATGTTCGCTGTTATTTCTCATGTGCCATTGATTCAGAATCTGCAACACTGGACAAGTAGATTGACTAGTCAACATAAGGCTTACAAAGTGGGGTCCAAAAATGAAAAATACACCAATATTAAGAGAAACAAACAGTTTATTTATATTTTGAGAACCATTTTAAAGCTCCAGGAATCTGTTGTACTTGGATAAGACTCTCTAGCATTTTTGTTTTTCCGGTACAGCTTGTCACACCTGCTCAGTTATGCAAGTTGAACCAAAGTAATGTTTTTCACTTTTGTGACCACGTAGTTTGCATTAAAATATATTCTTTAGATTATGTTTTGTATTATTGACATGCAGCTGACTTCTGCATTTTGAAAAAAAAATGTTTTGGTGAAGACTCTGATATTGCAGATTCTGAATCAATGACATAAGAAATGATTAAAATAATTTCAGGCTTTTTACTGTAATAGTTCCTGAGATATTGACGTCCAAACATGGCCTCAAAGTCCAATGTGTGAAATAATGTGCTGAAATCGGGTCGACAGGCAATTTAAAAAAATAAAATCACAAACAAACTTGAGATGTCAAGCTAAAATTTCCCAGATACTATTTTACATTTCCATAGTTCATGATAGAGAAGTTTTATGCAGAAGATCAGAGGTGGTCGGGCAGAAGGCCCCTGATGATCTGAGATGGAATAACGCAGGTCTGATTTATAATCTTTTAGCTATAATACAAGCGTTTACTAGAAAAAGTTTACTACTGACCAGTGATAGATTTTAAACAATGACACAACAAACTCTTTTTTTTTTGTGTGTTTTTATTACACATTTCCATATTTGAAAGCCTCTATATTGATGCTTACATGGTGCGTGGATAGGTCAGTCAGCTTTTTGTTTCCTCCCACCTGCACTTCCTCAGATGATCTGACAGGGGCAGCACTGATCCCAGCATCACCGGATGCCTGGACTCCGTACCCTCTGTACACCACGGAGCTGACCCCCGGCCTCCCTCACGCTGCCTTCACTTACCCGGCGGCCGCTGCCGCTGCTGCAGCCCTCCACGCCCAGGTGAGGGACCAACCGGTGTGTGTTTCTCTTCTATTCTTTTATTCTAGTGTCCTGCAGTGTACAATCAGCTCTGATGTTACAGGGAGCCTTTATAGAGACACAAAATTACCGGCTGCACCTGCCACTGATTATCATGCATGGTTGACTTTAATTTTATCAAAGTTGCAGTGTGCAGGTGTTTTAATTTTTACTCAGTTTGTCCATGACGGCTGCAAAAAGTTCATTCTTCAGAGGTTTAATCCTTAAACCAAATGAGAGAATTAAAAGCAGGAGTTGAGACTCTAAACAGTCCCAGTGGTCCTCGGAGGTATTACAACAACAGCACAGATGTGTGTAGCTGAAGCCGGCCCGGTATCAAGTCTGTGAGTTATTATTGGCTCTGCTCCTTGCGCCCAGTCTTAATACTATGAAACGTGGAGCTGAGTGGAAGTTAAAGCCATGAGTTATACTGTAATAAAAGGTCTGTCTCTTTCAAATGGAAAATGTCTGGACTCCTGCTCTGCCATCAGCGGAGATGTTGTCTGTTTCGTGATGTAGTGAAACCTTAGAATATCAGGCACTTATCTTAAACTCCTCTCTGTGGGGTTTACCAGGCTGTTTTTGGCTCGTGGTTTGTGGATGAGTAAGATACTGAGGTGTAACTTTTTCCTTTAATGGAACTCTGTGCGTCGCTGTTTGCTCAGTGTGCTGGGAGATACAAGGCACGCTTGCTTATTTAGAAAATACCCATGTTTTGGTCTAGAGCTTGGACTTAAGAAGTTCTCATATCAAAAAATGCTTTCTATATGAAGTTCTATCCTAAGAATTTGTGCACAGTTTGCTTTTACAGAAGACTGCAGCGGTAACCCTCTGAACCCCAGAACCCACTTGTAGGTTTAAAAAACTGAAACTAAAAAACTTTGACCATTTATCAGAGCCAGAAACTGTAAAAACAGAAAGAATAGTTGGACTTTCCATGAGTCTTTTAATGAATGATCTGGGACTTACTGTTCTATCAGAAAAAAATGGAACCAAATCTGAGCTTCAAATTGCCATCTTTCATCAAAATCACTTAATTCTGAAAAAAAATTAATTTAACCATTTGCTCTGAGTAGATTCTGGAATAAAAAATAAAGAAATCTGTGCTCATTGGCAAAACTGTGAAGCCATTAAGGATTCAGCTGTTACCAACAGGCACATGAGAAAAATCCAGAGACTTTTCCTCTGAACTGGGCTTGAACTGCAGGCAGTGGATAGGAAACATGGAAACAAATATAAAAGCAGTAAAAGATCTTTATGTAAAGCCACCATTTTCCCACTATTGGTAACACATGTACACGATGTACATGTTGCTTCAAGAAACTTAACTTTCATTTAATTTTTTCTGATTTGTGACATTCTACCTGTGTGATTCTGGACTGGAGACATTTTTGGGTTCTGTACCTGTAGTCCTGGTTGTTTTGTTTCCATAGAGGTGCAGGACTTTATATTGGGGAAAAAAAAAAAAAAAGCCTACAGTGAGTAAAAATAGAGCAAGAAGCATCCAGAATCTACTAGGAGTTCAGAGGGTTTACATCCTGCCAGCGGTGGAGTCTAAAATCAATTTCACTTTCATTTTTGGACCTGGTTTGCTCCATCAATCTGCTAAACGGGGCTGTTAATAAGATGTGGGAGAAGCTGGTACAGGAATGGGTGCAGAGTGTTTACATTGCAGGCGAGCAGCAGTCTAAATGCTGTAGCGAACTACAAGAGAGTGGGCAGGGCTTTGGGTAACAATAGCAATGGAAAATATTTCTCTCGTTGGGTCATTTAAAGTTCATTGTCGGCCAACTTCCTCCCGCAATGTAAGAGTGCAGGGGAGTGCTGCACGGCGAAGTAGGCAGCTATTGCATTGGCCATTTCGTGGGACACAAGAGACTGAGGAATGCGAGGTATTTGCTTGGAGAAATTGTCAGACTCTGATGGCCTTCTCTGGAGGTGCCAACTTACTGTCCACGTTCCTGTTGGAACATAAGCTGACCGGGTAGCCGCACAAAGGGGGGAAAAGCCTTTTAATTGCATTTTGATGAAAGATCCGTAAAATGCCCTGATCCCTAAATGCTCTTTGCGCCGACTCCCGGCCCTGTTAGTTTGACTGTGACACAGCAAATGTAAGAGTCTCCAAACGACTGCGTGTTAAGCTGCGCGTTTGTGGGCAGCGAGTAGAAAGCGGAGGCCTTGTTCTGGTGTTTAGTCACAGGTGTGGAAAGGTGCAGGCAGACCAGCTCTGTGGAAATGTTTAACACATGGAGAGGTTCGACTCTCCACATTTCCATGCCTCTTAATTACTCCACGACTATTGTCCTCAATGAGCAGCTACGTGACCCACATTCCCATGGCTTCAGTGACCGGGGCTTAAAGGGACAGTCCGCCTAAACCGGCCTGTCGGAGTAAACCTCAAAGCGTTTTAATCGATGAAATCTGCAGCACTGAAGCCTTTTTGGTTTTGGTCTGGTGTACATGACTATGTTTGTGTTTCTTTAGATGCGCTGGTACCCTACTCCCTCTGAGACTTCCCAGCCTGGATGGAAGTCCCGGCAGTTTTGTTAGATATTTAGTGAGTAACCTTTGGTCAAACAGTGTGTTTTGTTTTTTTTAGATTTGCCAACCTCCACCCACAATCCTCTGACTGCTAACCTGATGTCAAACCCGCATAATGACACCAACACAATGATTAACTAAAGACTGCGGAAGTAAAAATGCTTGAAAAACTGATTTTGGTTTTAAAGAACAAGGCTGGAAATGATTTCTGTCAACAAATTAATCAGGACTTCTCCAAACTGTCTGACTCGGCCTCAAACTCGTCTTTTAAAAGGGCTGCAAGCTTTAACGTTTCTTAACGGTTTCCTAAAACATCTGTACACTGTAATTTTTTTTTAGCTAACTTCACTCATTTTCTTCTGGTTTCTCACTTTTTCATTTGGATTAACTCTTTGCACAACTTCTGTGTTTTGAAGTGTCCTACATAAATAAAGCTGCCTCACCTCTTTACTCAAGCACCTATTTACTTTGTTGGGCTCTTTTTCAGTTGCAGATTAATACACTTTTGGTGCACGAGTGAGTATTTACGGCAGCATGTCGCTGAGAGAAGAAGCAGGAATCGTGTTTTTGATAGATTTTGGACAACAGAAGAGCTGTCAGATGCACAGTACAACCAGTTCAGTGGTGTGTTTTTGGCAATTTAATGGGAATTCACCAAAGAAAAAATCAGAATATCACCAGATTTCCCCGTTTTTAAACTGATGATACAGCTCATTGCTCGAAGTCAACCTTGCGTTCAGTCTTTACTGCTATGATGCATCAAATGTGTATTGATCTGCAGCTGAAAATAGTCCTCACTCTATGCAGAATTTCCGTATACGAAAAACGTATTATATTGTGAGCCCTGTTAAGAGTCGATTTGGGGCTGAGCGCCACAATCAGGAAGTCACAAACCGTGAACGCATTATCACAGCGTATGTTGACAAGAACAGAATAACACCAGCTTCATCCTTTTTTAAATTCAGTTTGTTTTGTTTTAAACAAAGATTAACCAGCGTGTTTGGACTAACTTGTGTTTTCCTTCTCCTGTTTTTTCCTTCAGGCCTCTGGAAACCACACCTTTGTCCAGCTGAAGTGAGGTTTGCCAAGCTCTTCATTAATTTAATCAGGTTTATTTAATGGACAAATGTGCATTATTATAAACAAACAGTATTTATATCTCCTCCCGATTGTCTCTGGGGGGAGTCTGAGTTGAAACCATCTTGCTGTCGACAATCTAAGCTCATCCTTGGCAACTATTGCGGTACCATCTTAGCACTTCAAAATAAAAGCCTCATGCAAATCCCGTTCAAACTCCATGGATCACGATTGCTGAGGGAAAATTGACGCATTTGAAGTTACCGTTGTTAAGCTAGTCCTTCCACAGCTCACCGCTGCTCCTGGGAGGTTTAGAAGCGTTAAGAGTCATTGCATGTTAAAGTCTTTTTGGCATGAATTTAGAACGCAGAGTTCTGTGTATCCTAATTTTCTTAGTGTTTGTGTTGCCTCTTTACCTTGGCCTAGACAGCAAAATGTTTTGTTTTCCTGTAGAACCTTGGTCTTACCTCTGTGAAAGCTAGGCTGTTGTGTAAATGGCTTATCTCGCATGGACCTTGTGAATGCATCCCTACGTTCTGACAATCCCAGTCCTTATGATCATATCAATGTCTGTCATTATTTGAGCAAAAAAGGAAAGTACAAATATTTTTGTACTTTTTTTTTGCGTAATGTATATTTATGCATTTTTGTGCAACTAAATAATGAACCTGTATAAGTTGGATGTTTAGTCGTCTCTTGTGTTTTTTGGTGTTAATTTTTGATCCTATAATCCTGTTGAAGTAGTTTTAAAGAAGAAAAAGTGCAATTTGTTTAAAGGGGAAGTGGGTATCTGTCAAAAAAAATAAAAAAATAAATGGAAGTATTCTGAAGGTGGCTTGTGCCATTCTGCTAAAATGAGATTGCTGTAAAACGATCTTTCAGAATGTGAAACTGGACTACAAACGTAAAGGGTTGCTTTTTTGGGGGGCCATTTTGAAATGGGAAGCAGGATTAGACTGATGGAGGAATTTAGTTTGTGGTTTAGAAACATGTTTGTCTTTGTATCTGCTGTGCATAAGATGTAAAAAAAAAAAAAAAAACAAACAAAATAATAATCCCATCTTATGAATAAAAGAAGTGAATGCATATCTCTGGGCGTCTGTCATTTATCACTGCGGCCGCCAATCACAGCTAAACGCTCCGACTCACAGAGCTGTAGACCTCAGATGTTGGCATCAATAATTCAACTTTTCATTTGTAATGCACCACTGCATTAGTGTCTCTTTGCATCATGTGTGGCTCTGACCTCCACACTCTGCCCTCATGAGCTGGTAAGATGCTCCGCTCAGCCGACCGTGACGGATCCTCCAGGGACTCTTAAGTGACTGTTTCTCAATACGACCAGCTGCCTAATTGAAGTGGTGACGGTGCGGCTGGTTAACTGTAAACATGTGGCCATACAGCGCCAATTAAGTTACGCTATAAACACGATTGGTATTGTGTCAGATGCTGCTTTTACAACGTCTGACACAATACCAATGACGGCATCATCAGAGTGACACAGTTAAAGTTTCACCTCTACATTAACTGTTCTGTTTTTAATAGAACAGCATGACTCCAGCAAAAGCATGAAAGTGGACCTTTAATGTCATGATATGTTGCATTTCTCATTTTTGACCATCAAAATGCACAAATGATTTGCATTAAAATCAACAAAATGTTATATTTATGTTTATATTGCAGATCCTCAAATACAAATATGAGCTTTTCTGTGTTTGACACTGTAAATGTCATGTTTGTTGCATGTTTCTTGGTCAGACCAAACCACACATTTAAAGACCGTCTGAAATAATGGCCTTTTTTAAAAACTATATCCGAAAAACAATCATTCATAGATTCACAGATTCATAGGACATAGCGTAAATGACAATGAAATCAGTTCTAAAAGCAACAGATGGTTCTCAAGAAGCAAATCTGTTGCATGTTTCTTGGTTAGATCAAACCACACATTTAAAGGAATCATCCTGAAATAACGATGGCTGTTTTCTGAAGTAAATCATAAAAATAATTCACAGATTAAAGCAAAAGAATATATAAGAGAGTGAAAATAGTTCTAAAAACAACAGACTGTTCCCAAGAAGCAAATGTTCTGTCAAGAATCAGCCGTTTGCCCTTCATGGAAAAAAACGGGTCATTTAACATCACTTTCACACAGAATATTTGGATTGACATGAAATCGATAGAGAGCGTGAAGATGAGGACGCTACAGATTGGACGGCAGAGCGTTTCCTTCTCTGCTGTTTTCATCTCCAGACACAAAGCTGCATAAACATATACTGTCCCTGTTACTAAGAGTTCTTTTTAGCCATTTTTATTCTCTCATGAACCTATAATGGTTGAGCAGAAAGGACCATATGCTCCGTATGAGAAACAATTTGAATATATTCTGTGTATTTATCCTAAGTTGATTTAAAACTGTCATGTTCCCACTTCATAAAGACAAAATAAAAATGTACAGTTTATTTAAGGATTAGATGACATACGTGTAGCTGTTTTATGCCTGAGTTAAGTGTTGAAATGAAGGCAACTGGCCCTGCTTTAGTTTCCAAAAGGCCTCTTCAGTTTTAATTGAAGTTCCAACTGAAGAAGCCTTTTTGGATGAGAAGTGAGGCGTCTTCAAAATACAAAAATGAAGCACTTGGACAGTCGCTGTTTTATTTAAACAAATGGTGGCATTTCTGTATTTATGGGCAATCATCTGAATGGACAACTATAGAAACAGGAAGACTCATTTTTGAAGAAGACGATGTGATACGAGGGGGGACAAAAAATCACTTAAGCATCCATAATTTTACACTCATGATCAGCAGGTTTCAGAGAAATGCGGGAAAATTTCTTCTCATATTTCAATCAATTCTGTCTGAAACTCGTCTGCTGTAGATGTGCATTTATTGACTCACTAATTATTCCAACCTGGTGGAAATGTTTAAAAATGGCTGGAAGGGGCCTAGAGATTTATTTTTTTTTTTTATTATTGCAAGACTTTGTTGCCCTCTACTGGCTCAACTTCAACATGAGCAGCAGGCATGAAGCAGCTGGAGAGAGCAAGCAACGCCTTGAAGGCATACAGTCCTGAAAAAAGTTTGCATTCGCTTGTAAAGACCAGGTGTATGATCAGGCTTGAGTTTCCAATGACTCCTAGAACTCTAAATTTTCTGTGATGGAATCATTGAAACATAAATCTGTGTCACAAAAAACAAATGTGCATTTTGGGTCTTACATAAATTTATTATAGATCTTCTGGAAAAATGACAAAATATGACAAATATCAGTAATGCTAACACATGGTTACATGTCCTTTGGCCATTTTCACCTCAACTAGGCACTTTTGGTAGCCGTCCACAAGCCTCTGGTTGTATCTTTGACCCTGCTCTTGACAGAGTCGGTGCCATTAAGTAAAACTTGTTGACTTTCTGACTTGTTTCTTCATCACAGTCCACATGTTCTTGATGGGGTTTAAGTCGGGCCTTTGGGAGGCCAGTCTAAAACCTTAATTCTAGCCTCATCTAACTATTTCTTTACCACTTTTGATGTGTGTTTGGAGTCACTGTCTAACTGACACCAAACTACATCCAAGACTCAACCTTCCAGCTGATGATTTTACATTTTCCTGGAGAATGTGGGGATAATCCTCTTCCTTCATTGTTCCATTTACTTTGTATAAAGCCTCAGCCCCACTGGAACCAAAACAACCCGATAGCATGATACTGCCACCACCATGCTTGCTGATACGTTTGGTTGTCTTGGAGTTAAAGGCCTCACTTTGTCTCCCCCAAATGTATTTCTGGTCATTGTGGCCAAATATCTCAGTTTTTGTTTCCTCTGTCCACAGAACGTTCCTCCTGAAGGCCTTTTCTTTGTCCACGTGATTAGCAGCAGCAGCAAACTTCAGTGGAGCTTTAAAGGTGCTGTTTCTAGAGGAAGACCTTCCTTCAAGCATGCCATCCTTGACCAACCAATTGTGTGTCAGCAGCAGGTGACTTGTGTTGTTCCAATATTCTTTGTTGGAGGTTGTTAAATATTTGCCTGAATACATGTAAGTTAGCCTGGTACAATCAACGTAGAGAAATGATCATTTTCCCGCTACATACCTTCGAAAACAACATATCGGCCCAATTTGCAGCGTAACTTTTTCAGGCAGCAGCGTAACGAGCTGTTACTCTGTTATAACGCTGGAGAGAACCATAATAATGTAGGTCTATTGGTACAAGCTATAGATTGAGATGTGCTGTTTACAATAATTGTTTGCTGCAGAGCATTTATGTGGGTAAAATGAACAGTCTTTCTATATTAATATGCTCATAATTTATATGAAACTTCACCAGGTATTTTGGAGGCAGTGACAGGCAGAGAAAGTCCTTTTCAGACTTAGCTGAGACTCAAGTATCAGGTGAGGATAAAACTGTCCCTGTATACATGTAAGGTCTCGTCAAATGATTTACTATAACACATAATCACATGACACGAGACTTGTCTTTAGCTAAATGCCCATCATGTGAATACATTTACAAGGAAAAACACACTGGAGGAAGAGTTTTCATATTTGATGTCTCATATGGCATCTAGCATGGCTAACATTTGTTGTTGTTGTTGTGTCTTGCCTACAGAGCTCTGTCTCTCACCCTCACCCACAGTGCCTTCTGTCCCTGTTCCTGACACAACCTCAACTTGGTAAGTTAACAACAAAACAGACTTTGTAATTTCAAGGGTAGTAAGACATCTAACATGGATGACTTTTGGTTTATTTTGGTCCTTTTTGTGGGCCTATGAAATTCAATATCTCAGCTAAATAAGTCACTTTAAATATTAAGTGTAAATCAATCCCAGGCCTCACTTGTAGGTGAATTTACCACCACTTCAGATGATAAACCGTAGATGGGTGATAACATACCTGGTACATAAAAGGATGCTGTAAACAGCACTGCCGCTACTGTGCAGCTCTAAGAGGTTTTATCTATTGCTTCTCTGTGCGGCCAACAGGGACAGTTGCTGACTTTTGCCAAATATTAATGGTAAGATTTTTCTGCTAGTTTGCAAATCTGCTTCAGTGACCTTTATCACTGTGGATTACAATCTACCAAGAAGTCTCACACTTAGTTTTACGAGTGTATTCGCTGTAACAAATTGGAAAATGAAATAAGTTCGTAGTAGGTGTGTGAATGACCATTGATCAGTGTTATCGTCATTAGTGGAGGGCCCCAAAAATCATG